TCTATATCCTTGCTAATGATGAATTATTAATTAGTCGCACCGTACGTTTAGGATTAGTTGAGTTCGCTAGTTTTATTTATTATTATTTTATTTTATTTTTTTATTTATTTATTTATTTTTTTTTTTTACTATTTCCATCTGATGTATACTACGCGCTCGCGGACAAGCTGTCTGGTAGAAATAATTTCTGGAATATCATATACAGCACGACGACGGACAACTTGTAAATCCACATCAGAATGTCACGTCGACAAGACGAGGTCGTTTTACAGGTATCGTGTAAAAATATTATGTACGTGTGACGGCTTTACCTGCTACCGTGCCGTATGCATGATATTGTGTTAGATTAGTCTCCGTGTATAAAAATAAAAATAAAAATATTTAAAAAAAATATGTGTGGATACAAGTGTCGATACCGAACAAAATAGAACATTGAATAAGTGTTCAAAAATATGAAAAATTCATATAAATATGAAAAACTAACCTTTTACCAAAGTGCACAAAGGCGTGTCTAAGACCAAAATTCAAGATAGGCCTGGTTATAAAAAATTTTTGACGCTCAACACTACGGCGGTGATCGCCGACCAAACGACAACGGACATCGGGTTGTGTAATATCCATATAGAAATATGGGGTATTTCCAAAAAGCGCTTGAGAATTGCCGATAAATTTTACGATTAATTTTATTTAAAGATAAATATTTATATTGTTTACATCAAAAAATATGATTGATAAAAAATATGGTCACACAATTGCCTACGCAGTATGTTGATGTACTTACATTATACATTCAGTATTCAGTGTGCTTATATAAATATAATTTTAAAATGCATATTTTGGGTATACTTAAAGGTTAAAAATCACGGTAGGCCCTGGCCTACCAGGCCTACCCGCTGGACACGCCTCTGGAAATGCATACCTTCCGCTCAACAGCCTAATGAAAATCGATATGTAATGCGATTTCAACTATACAGTTGAACCGTCTGTGACGGTGTTTGTTTAACTTTTTGAGATCACGAAACACTAAACAATAATCATTTTTTTTGCGAAACACCAATGAAAATTACCTTCAAAAAATGAAAGTACACAAAACATGGCGATAAACGGTAACATTAACAATACACTAAAATAATAAATATCTACAGCCAAATTAAATAGTTTATTTATGAGGTATTATAGTGTTCAATAAGTAATATTATATCTAATTTTAATAACAAAAAAAAAAAAATTATAATAAAATTAGTGCATGAATACTTATCAATATTTGGAGTAAAATTTGTTAATCAAAAACTTAGTCAAACTATTTCGATATTTAGACTACGTTGCAGACTGCTGAGATTCCCCATAAGTGCGCTGAAAGAAAAGGAAGTTGCATTCTCAACGCCTTTTCACATAAAATCTCGTATTCGTACTGCAGTACACGGCACCTCGATATTCGAACAAAACACACAGTATTGCAAACAGTGGCGTATTTGAAAACTATTTTCTTAGGGAGGAGGTGTCATACCTAATAATAAAATAATTTTATAAATTAGTATAAAATGTTCTTTATCAACTTATTGTTAGGTTTTTTATTAACTTATTGAAATCAAACTATTGACAAACTACTATAAAAAAATTGCAAATTATATTATAAATTCTAGTTTTCATTTTTTATTTGCCTAATTATCAATAACTTCATCGGTTTGAAATTCTAAATCTCGATGAATAGATAGCATGGCAAGGCCATTAAGTAATTTCTAAAATTTTTGAATTTTTTTTTTTTACTGGCTCTATTTCAGTACTCTTCCAATACCAACTCAACAATTAAATGATAATAAATTAATGAAATCGAACTAAATTAAACGTATAATCAGATTAATCGTATTTTATATTACTTTATGTTGTGCATAGATACATAGTACATACTGACCACCAGGCCCGTATTTAAAAATTTGGCGCCTCCGGATATATCATTTATGCCCTCTCCCCAAAATAAGTAATAATAATAATAAAACACTTATTATTTCATCCATAATCGAAATTCTTTAATATTAAAATATAACTTATAAATGAAAATCACTAAATACTTTTTTTAATTAATAAATTAAACAATTTATAACATAATAAAACATAAAATTTCTTTACATTATTGAATAAACAAACTAAAATTATTATATTACTGATATGTTTAAAATTTGACGTTTTCAATTTTTTTTTTTTGTGGGGGGAAACCCCCAGAACCATCCCCCCCCCATAAATGCGCCATTGATCGCAAATATAAAAAGGATAATCGCAAAATACGGTCAACGGTTGTATTGAAACCAAACCGTTATTATGATTACGATTATTATGATTACGTGGACACGTGACACGTACTAATTTCCGTTGTCGATGGTAGTTTTTCGATTTTTCTTATACTGTATAAGTACAAAACACTTATTGAACATATATTATTATTCATTGTACATTGCGTACTATAATTGATTATTATTTAATATTAAAATTTAATAATATTTAATAAATATGCACGCTTAATGTGACTTTTTCCCTCTCTGATCTTTAGTTTGATTTTTTTCAAATCAATTTTTTTTTTTAAATTTTAAAGAAAACACTCGAGTTTTGCGAGACACGGCTTAAGAAACACCGAACCATCTCAGCGTTTAACTGCACGAGAAAACCTTATGTTAAAACGAATGCATTGTACATTATTATTCGTACGCGTAAAATTGTTAAAAATGTGTGTCCAGATCGTCAGATTGTTCACAGACTGAAATGTGTTCCATAATATAGAATCTATCTTTCTGTGGAATTGATCGCATGCACGCTCCATTGTACATGCCGTCAAAAACCCCGAGGCGCGAAACAAGGAAAGAAAAACAGTAATTTCACTGAAAAACCGTCATCTTATACATAACATATTGTATTTTATATCGTTGTGTAGTACAAATACACGCACATTTCGCGGCGTACCCGATTTACCGTTTACCAGTCCTGGCACGTAACCCGTATACAACGGGCGTAACTCTATAGACCTATTGTACGTAGTGTTTGCACCGAGAATAAGTGTAGCCATAATAACAGGGTGGGAAATCACATATTATAGACCTCCGCAGTCGAAATAAAATACTACATCGATTACCGTAGTATTTTAGACGTATTTACATCGTATCCGATTACAGCGCATTTATGCACCAGTATCATGACTACCATGTGTACGATTATGTGAATATACGTAATACGTTACGGATTTGAACGTACCCACGAATGAAGAAACACGGACCAGGAACAGTGATGCGAGCGAATTACCGACTTGTAAAGTATTAAAAGTCGAAAAACGAAAGGACTTATAGCAAATCGTAATAGTGTAACTCATTATGATTTGCGAAAACGTAGCGAGTATGTCGCAAGTACATCGAATGTCGTCAACAGTAAGAATTTATTTAATAACCAACTTAAATACGCGCAGTACACATAGATGGTGTAGTTGTTATCGGACTTTAAGTATAATCGTAAGCGCAACTAAAGCGATCGGAGTTTGTCCGAAATAACATCTAATTGGCCTCCCACTTCTATATATATATATTCTGTTGAACCTTAATAATTATGATGTGACATGAAATAGTTTGTATACGCTTAAAACTGTAACAATACTATGATAGATGTTCTTATTTTTATTTTTTCCTTTCTTCATTTGTCATTTTATTTTTTACGTAGAGTTATTTTTATTAATATATGTATTTAATTTTACTATATTCATTTTCGGTAGGATCACAATAATTTAACATCAACATTTAAAACTCGTTGGAATTTTAAGGGTTCTTATGTAATATATATATATATATATATATATATATATAATATTTAAATTTAAACTTAATTGAACATGTTACTTTTGAATATTAAATGACCGAATTTTTTTCAACAACACTTGTATACCGATACATACAGATTTATGCTGGGAATGTATTTATATCTGATGTTGTTGTTGTTATTAATGAACATTTGTTGAGTGTTTTCAATGTATGATACAAATCGAAACAAGAATGATTTTATTTTACTTCATGATGAGTTAAGTTTATTTTACTTCATCTTCGTACTCCGTTACAAGCACATCATATGCATCTATGCACTTTTCGATACTACACGAATATAAATGCATTATTTGTTTGAGGATCTAACGTATACATCACGAATGTACGAGTCGTATATATTTCAATCGGATAACACATTATATCATGGAAACACAATAAATATAAAAACAATTATCATCGTCGAAGGAAAAAAACCTGTAATACAATATATATATGTATACGTACAGTCGGAGTGAAGTATACTAGGACATTTCGTTTATATAACATACCTAGCGGTTGTAATAACATAAATAAAATGTATTCAATTTGTGTTCTTAATGTATGTCAAAACTATTATTGCGTGTGTTTGGCGAATGGGGCCGTGGAAAAGAAGCTGAGTATTGGATTAGTATGTAAGTAAAGTCGCGGTTTTTTATCGAGTTTATTAGGTACTATATTATACATACGCGTTATTAATCTTACTGGAGCCCCCGTCGTAATGCACGGTATAGTACATATCATTAATCAACATATTATGTACCCGCTGCATGTGTTTCGCGTTCTTCACATTTTTCCGTTATCTACGTATACTTAAATTTTTTTTTCGCCAAAAAAATAATCAAGTGAGGTTCAAGTAGTCCGATCGGTTTTCCATAAACATAATAATATACCGTACGCGCACGAAATTGGCTTGTTCGTCGAAAACAAAAATGAAAAAAGTAGGTTACAGAGAGCTATTTCAGACCGAAAGATTGGGAAACATAAGTTCACATCAGTCATGGCGAATGGCCATAAATTCCAGAGTTTTGAATTATCCCAAATAAAAATTAAAAAAATACCCAATGTAAAAACGATAATGCGAGTGTTTCAAAGTATTTTTAACGAATGCGTATGCACAATCGCCCGAGTGATCACCGTGCACGCGTAATCCCTGCAAATGCCGCGTAATTTAAACTTGTACGTTCATAATAATTGCACTTACAAAATGACGTGCATGTTTAAATATACACTTAAATGTAATGGTTGTTGAAATGTTAGATAGGTAAATTATTTATCGATAGATTTCTCAACACATCGTCTGGTAAGTGACTTAACTCGAAGATAATGGAGGACAGAATATTTGAGCCATGCGTTTTTAAGCTTTTATTTCAGCCAATAATACAATTCCGTTGCTTTAGTTTTCGTTATGCAAAATACAAATCGATCGACAGAACTATGTGCGAATATAATGCGCTGTACAGTGTGGGTTACGTTGAAATGCGTGTAACAGTATCGTATTATCATAATTCGCAGTCTCCGTACAAAACGGTTTTGGAACAAGTTACACTCGCATTTCCGAACAGAAACGATTGGCATTTGGGCCAACACAGGCTAAAAAAATGGATACGTAAGTACTACGATGTAGTTGCTCTACGCAACACCACAGTTCATCATGTATATTGTGTGCAGCTGTCCCTGCGGCGGACGATTCCAACGTGGACGACACTCGGTTGACGCACGGACGCCGTTATGAGACACGTGTTGTGTGTTGTATACAGTCGATTCAAACTCAGATACAATGGGAGGGGGCGGCCTTAGGCCTTAGGAACTGGAAATATTTCAAAGATCACCTTAATTTTCGATTTATCAATTAAAGTAAAGAGGAGAAATACTATTATATTGTGATGACGAGTGATTGATGACCATGATTATTTATATAGTCCTCAACAGTTCTAACCTAGAACGATAAAAACAGAGGATGGGTCAAATGAATTCGTTAATAAACGGTGATAATTTATCTAACAATTGTTATTATATTGAATTAAAAAACTTAAACTCGATACCTATGATTTTATTTAATTAAAGTACATTTTTTCGTCCAATTCCCCTCCTTTTTTAATTTCTAGATCCACGTCCGATTCATGTGATGTGTTTTGAACATTTGTCGCATGTGAAACTGAAATATGAGTAAAAAAAAAATTATTTCGTACAAAAAAAAAAAATTAATAAATAACTGAGCATATTATTACGGTTTGTTGCCAGCGCTGCGGTACACGCGCGTGCCTGCGACCCTACCGACTACTACCACAGTACCACGCAGGTCTATTTTTGGTATGTATTTATAAACGCGAGCCCGATGGACCAGCGTTATTGGATCATGTAGCTCGATGGATTTAATTATATCCTCACCGAGGCATACAGTTCGCCGAGTTACACATCATGTGGCACGTGATTTGTACCGCTCAAGTGCTAGCGCACGACCGGTGCCGAACACCGCCGACGTCGCGTACAAAGACGCTCGAGACGGATGAACGCATATTACTTTACGGGCGAAAATATGTTTTCCAGATTTTTCGTTTTTCTCTCCGACCGATTTACCCATACGACGACATCGTCGCGCGTTGAATCGAATCCGCCATGGTTTTGTCTGTCAAAGTTTAACCGATACCTATTACCAGAGCTCGTGAGTTCGTGCATTTGCATACCAATCTTGCAAAGTTGTATTCATAGATAAGTATATACACCTGTACACACGAGCAACAGGTTAATAAACATTTGTTTCGACCGATACGCGTATCAAGTATCGCGTTCATATAAGGTTATTTGCAGGGCTCGTAAGTTCGTGCATTTACATGGGTATCAATCTTGAAAAGTTGTATTCGATGCAAGATGACGTAGAAATCCATTTTAAGGTACCACGGTTAAACATGTGATATCTTATTATGCACGTTTTTGCATATTCGGCATGTTTTTGTATAATTGACGTATTTATGCATATTTCTATTTTATCGGGCATATTATACAACATTCTATGAAAATCTATCAAAAATCGAAATGGAAAATACAAATAAAATTAAAAATATAAATGTTATTATCTTTTCTTTTCTCATATTTTTGACACTCGTACATTTAATGAATAAATTAGTTTCAAACATTTCAGATTTAAAATGAATTACAAAGACGTACATTATACGTAGTTCATGAAGGCCCAAGAATATTATTAAATAGTATTTATAATCTATTTTTTTTAATTGTGACTTAAAAAAATAAATGGATAATTTATGTTATTTTAAAAATTATTTATGAGTTTTTTAAGTGCATAATTTAGATATTTAATGCATATAAATGCATATTTTGACAATTTTAAGTGCATAAATGCATGCTTATTTAGGCATTTTGGCATTTTATAGGGCATGAACTTACGAGCCCTGCCTATTATTGTTATTATAATTAATATATTGTTACGGATGAATAATAGTTTCACATATAAGTTATTAATTAAACACAATGTTAAAAATGCATGTCAAAATTTTGCTTGCTTGTAATACATTTTGGTGATCTTTGAATATTATATTTAATCAATCTCAGAATTTTACATGACACTAGTCATCGACTAATATTATGATTATTAAAAATTATCATAGTCTTGGGTTGAAAATATTTTTAGTTCACTTATTGTTTCAATAGATATGGGTATTTAGCCAAGTTTTATTTATTATTGTTATGCGTTACTAGTAATTCATAAACATTGTATCATTCATAACTTACTAGTTGAACGAATTTCGACAAAACTTAAATTATAATTAGATCCATTTAGATATCTATTCAGCCTCGATGAATTGAATTTAATCATACGGTGGTATGTCTTAATCAAGATACGAAATCAAAATATAAAATAACTATTGACGACGCGATTCACACAGCGTTATACACTGAATTAATACAAGCCGGCATTGTTTATTTATGCTTCATTATATTTTACATTATTTTGTATTTAAATTTGTTTAAATTACAATAGGTATTTACAATTTGACATTGTTAAAAAAAAAAAAATACTATCTACATTATTTGTATACTTATGGAATTATATTTTTAGAACTTTTGTTCGCTATACATAATTATTGCGTAGTTCCTGTTACGTTACACCTATAACTCCTACGCGTGTTTCCTGCAGTTTATATTATAACATTCGACTTCATATAGTTTACAACGCAATGGGTTCACTTGACATATGCCGTTCTACGTAAATATTTATCAATGATAACTGATACAGGAATTAAATAGTATCTGTACATTTATTATCTATGGTTTTTATTTCGTTTTTATCATTAATTCAACAAATTAAAACAGTTTTTTTTAGGAGAAACAATGTATGGTATATGAATCTATTTTGGAAATTATAAGTGCAATAACAATGAACTAAAAACATTACATTGAGTGGGTATTTTGGTATGCGCATCAAAGTAATTTTCTAGTACATCGTAATATTAATTACCGATGTAGTAATGTGGTAACGAAATAAAACTGGGATTAAAAAATTGTACATACTCCTTTTTTATAGAGAATATTAGGTTTACATAAAATAGTTAGATGTTAAGACTAGATTATTATTTGTTTTCGTACGTAATCTCTAAAAATGTTAGTAGAATTAACACTAAATATGACATTAAAATGTAAAAATAAATTGTAACTGTATTAAAATACATATACAATTTCAATAAAATATATTTCAATTCATATTTCCCAGATTTTATTTTCGTTATGAAAAAAACATACTATAGAATTATCCAAGTAGATAATAGTTTTCCTCAGATCACATTTATTCAGAATTTCGTTACACCCACTTATTTGTTTCTATACATATATAATCCACATTCATAAATTGAAGAACCTGAGAAAAAAAATAAAAAAATATTAATTTCTTGTAAATAAGTTTCTTATAAATCATAATAAATTATACTGCGTAGAAACTAGAAGCATAAATAAATAAAAATATGATTGTCGACTAAAAAAAAATCTTAATAAGAATGACTGATTTACTTATTAATAATATACATTATATAGTATCGCCCATATTTTGTAGATAATAATTAAGGTTCGGAAGTTATAGGAGCCAAAAAAGGCAAAATTCGCTCAAAAAAATTATAAAATATGCATGAAAAAATTTGTAATATGCAAAAAAAATTATTTATTTATTTATTAAAAATTAATTAGTATATTCTAAAAACCTATATTTAAAAAAATTGTATTTTTGAAAATTAAAATATGGCGCATAACCGGTTGGAATTTGAGATTTTATTGAAAAAATATTTTCATTATTTGTGAAATACGAAATAAATGGTTAAGTTGTTGTATTGAACCACCAACATTTTCGTTAAATTCATTGTAGACAATAAAAAATAACATTATTAAAATAAATTGGTTTAAAATAAAAAAAATACATTTTTTTTTAGAAAATATTAAATATGCATACAAATATGCGGAAATCAATGAAAATCGATGAAATGTGAACTTTTTCTCTATATTAACGAAATATGCAAATTATACATTTTTAAACTCAACATTGTATAGCATCGATTTCTAGCTTGGTTTGCTATAAATCGAGAGCATACAGAATAAGATGCAACTCCTATAACTTCCGAATTCTTATAATAATGTTACATGACTTATCAAAAAGATATAAAAAAAAAAAGAAAAAGAAAACTGTGAATAACAAATAATAAGTAATATTGCAGATTTGGCCAATGGGTCTCTTCCTATTCAAGTTTTCATGTCATTGTTGTCCTTTTTATTATAAAAATTGCTTATTGTGAACGTCTCACAGATTGTAATTTTCTTTATTCAATAATAATAAAAAAAAAAAGCTATAAATTCCTAATTGATTATATGAAATAATACATATTAAAAAAATTACGATGAATTTAATAATTTATATCCTTAAACAGGCGTGAACGCAGGGGGTTTAAGGGTTCAACCACCCCCGCTCGAAATAACAGAAAAAAATGTTATAAAATAATATAAAATTAATGTAAATATTATTACAAAATATAATTAAATATTTTTATATCGTCACTGAATAGATACATCTATTTAATTTGCTACAAAGTATTTACGATCTAGGTCTAGTTTAATTATTCTTTGATTATAATCAAAACCTTTTTGTCTTACGAGAATAATTTTTAAATCTTCCAAGAATAGTTTGAAATCCAAACTTTAAATGACATCAGACAGTAAAGAAAATTAAGTGTAAGTATAATAACGAAGGTTAAACCGTATCTATAAATATTTAGTAGACAAAATTTGCAATAACCTTGATTGTTTTCGTAAACAAAGATTGAGTGCAATTTTAGAAAAACTTACCACATTTTTTTTCTTTTATATTATAGTTTATATTTAAGTAATGGAAAAATAATTCGTGGTATTGAACTTACACCATGACTGTATTTAAGACTAAAGGTCCCTTCTTTCAAGCCCTCCTGTTTCATTATCCACCTATGATTTTTTTAAACTCCAATTTCTTAAATATATCTACTTGTATACAGTTTTATGACTTTTTATCCATGTGTTTATAATGTATAAACTGTAAATATATATATATATATATATGCGTAGTAGTTTAAATCAATCGGTCCTACTGCATTTCTCAGAAACTATAGTTTTGCAGAATCGAAACGGGCTATACTCGGCAAACGCAATATACTAGTTTAGAATTCTATAAGGGGTTTAAAAACGGACTACATCGTAGAAACGGGATTGTTTATAAATTTCAATCGTCGAAATGGCACAAATTCTAAAAGAATAATATTGGATATTTCTTAAATAAGACTGAAACATTTATATTTTACAGCACATAACTATACAAGCTTACATGAAC